ATGCAACTTCAAATATTCCATTAAACCCTAACTTTTTTTTTTCTTTAAACTGCAATAATTTATAATTTTACTTATAATTGAGTCACTTGAACACTCTTCATCTTTTTATTAATTGGTCGTGGATCATAACATAAACTTGTCCTCTTTTTTTTGTAAACATCCTGAATTTCAAATGAAATTTCATGTGCTTTTTTAGTAGATAGATGCAAATTTCTTCTTTTTGGTTCATGTCATTTTTGTTTTATTTGTGTTAGAGCTTGTCTGAAATGCCAATAACAAAGTCCCTTGAACTTGATAATTGCTTAACATATTACACATGCTAAGCAATTATCAAGCTGCTTGCAAACGGCTTGGGGGCCTTTACCAGCTACACACTCACAAACTGATAGCAATATACTTCCACTTTCAGAAAATGCAACAGAGACGAAATAAAATAGTGATTTTGTATTTTCCGATTGCACTTGACCTCTAAAAAACGAATGTTGATCACAAGTTACGCTCGCTAAAGCTATTAGATATTTGTTAATCAGCATATTATAACCTTTACGATGAACTGCTGCATATTCTGTAAGACCAGCATTATCTTTGGAAATTTGTAAAAAGTATGTGTTAATATGTACTATATCAATATCAGGTATTGCTGCAGTTTGGGTAACGCTATGATAGTCACAATCTGCTGGCCATTCAATGCAATAGATTTATCTTGGTAAAACATTGTTTCCTTCATTGAGCTATTATGTACTACGTACTAGAGGCGACAATGCATTCAGCTACTCTATTCCACTCAGTTGCGGTGCATACACCGCACTTTAATCAGTCACTCGCTAGGCGCTTGTAGAGTTGTCACGTGTTGTGTTGATTTAAAAAAATCTTTTGATAATAATATGCCGTCGTGTGTACTTAGATATTGTACAAATAATTCAAGGAATGTCAGTAAAAACCAAGAAATTACTTTTCTATATAACTCTAAATAAAACAAATTATTCCTAAGACGCTATCTCGTGTCATGGAATATAGATTATGAAATTAATATGTTTAGATGCGACATTTCTGTGGCTACTTAAGTGTAGGACGAGTATATTATTATACACATTTTTTGTAGAAACATATATATAATAACTTATAATTAGGCTAATTTTTTCATGTTTAAATCTGCTTATTATTCTTTTATTTTATTCTTAGGTTTCCACGTCAAAGTCAAAGTGGAATAAATTCGTCCATTTTAACTCTCGCGTGCAGTGGCGGAGCTGGAGCTCCAAGCTAGGGCAAGCCCAAGATATAAATTGATAAAAATATAGATTGTTGTTTTTAGCAGTTTTATAAAAATACACCAATAAAAATCTTTAAAAAAGCATACATTTTGAACTCGAAATATTAAATCGCTTAAGATAAGCACACAGAGTAAATAAACATTAAAACGTGAAATGAACTTGCAAACGTATTGCCCGCGCGCCTCCGCTTTTAACAAATTTATTCCCAAAAACCTGGCTTTAAATCTCCATACTAATTGTTATATATACAATCGTAGTTATATTTCATTATAGAATATTTTGCCATAGGTTAGAAAGAGAGCGATCGTCTTCTCGAAAGCCCCGTAAAAAGCCTACGCGAGCAAGGGAGACAACTAATCGCTCTATTAAAACTTTCTTTTAGACGGCAGCAGTATCGCTAAGGCAATATGAGGTCATCGGTCGACATGTGTCGAACAGTGGAGTGCGCGGGAAATTTGAAATAGCTTGAAACATTTTACGAGTAATTTTATTAGTTGATATTATTGATTGATATTATTGAGGCAAGCTCGGCTTTTCAGCTTTTATAGAAGCTTCGCCACTGCTCGCGTGCCCAGCATTTATAAACGATTCTTATTCTAATTTAAATAAATATATCTGTAATTTAAATGTTATGTTAATAAGTTTTTTAAGTTTTTGTTAAACATACATTCAGCATGTTTTATATTTGACATAGATACCTTTTAAAATATTCAGATAAAAATATATTTAAAATGTAATTATGATATAATATTATGTAATATTATATTAAATAAGTAAATATGATATACATAATTTAAATATTATTCTCGATATAATTTACCTATTTAACAATACAATCAAAAAAACCAACCGCGCGAACACAGAGTAGCGCACTTTTTTGTTTGAGGTAACTGTTCTAGTACGTAAGTACATATTACTTTAATGGTTTTCTTCGCCTCTTGAACAAAAATTATTATTACGATCGTAATCCTCAAGTCTGTGTGAAGATAAAATTATTTAGTTAAAACAGTAAATTAGCAAATACATTAATATCAATTTAATGAAGTAGATATTGAAGGACAAATCTAAAATAATTTAATTGAGTAAGAATAAAATATAACATAATAAATAATAATTGTTTACAACATAAGTATCTTTGAATTAATTGGGATTTAGTGCCACTTTTGCACCTCTATTTTTTAGTTCCTTTTTAGTTCTTCTACTTTTAATAGTCCCTAGTTTGGTTTATCCACTTTTAATTATTATATAATTTAAGAAATGTACCAAACATAAACAGTAATATTGTGAACAACTTTCAAACAATTGAAATTCGGCGCCACGTAGTCTGTCAAATATATAGTTTTTTTATTAACTGCCTTTACGGCTCTGGGTTCTAGCCCTTGTGAGCCTATCATTTCTTTCGGAATCTTTATATTTATATTCTTTTTGTTCACAATGTGCTGATTTGTCACATTGGGAAGCCCTTGGGAGATTTTGACAACAGCTCACGCCAGCGGACAGTTGATGACGACAGCCACTCAAGTTTATGAGGCTCAAGCGATCAAAATAATTACATCGACACTTTCTCTAATAGTTCATACGCGTGGACACTTAATTCACATAATTGCATCACTTTTACGAATAAACCTTCACTTCAAACCATTATTTAAGCGACAAAATAGGAGCGACAATCCGTCTACAGCCAAGTTCCCGCCAAAAATACGGAATGAACTTTCTTTCTTCTTTATTAACTGGCTTTACGGCTCTGGTTTCTAGACCTTCTGAGCCTATCCTTTCTTTTGGAATCTTCATTTTATGTTCTTTTTCATCACAATATGCTGATGCATCACATTGCGAAGCCCTTGGAAGATTTTGACGACAGCTCAACCTAGCGGACAGTTGATGACGACAGCCACTCAAGTTCATAAGGCGCCCAAGAGATCAAAATCACTTGAGGTTTATATCGACATCAAAGCACTTGTTTCTTCGTTTTCTCTAATAGTTCACACGCGCGGACACTTAATTCACAAAATCGCATCACTTTTACTGATCAAAATCCACTTCAAACTATTATTCAAACGACAAAACAGGAGCGACAATCCGTCTACGGCCAAGTTCCCGCCAAAACTCCTACGGAATGAACGCTTCGACTTAGCCATGGAGTATAGAGGTAAGGGGGGACTATCTTATTTGTAACACATTGTATTTGAATACTTATGTTGTAAATTTGTATTTTATTACTAAATAGATCGGGGTAAAATAGCTAAAAAAAGGTTATTGTAAGTATAAAATATCGTAAATAATTCCAAATTTGCAACTATTTGTAGGAGAAATTTAATATGTAATTTTCATATGAAATTTTATTCGATAGAGAATATGTAACATGAATTATTTTTAAATAAATTCATATTATTGTTTACTACAAGAATGTAATAAACAAAACAAAATTACTGTAAAATACGCGGCGTTTCGCGTGCTTTTTAAAGTCAAGTAGGCCGTAGGCCGACGAAGGACTTAAGGTACGCGTATAGGAATAAACCCACTATATGCCGACTATAAAACATTCATAACTTATTTTGATCTACCTAATATATATTATTTATTGTGCAAACTAATATTTGGTAGTAATATTTAAAAACATGGAAAGTTTTATAAACATAACATTTTGCCACAATTCAGTAGTCAGGAATATAAATATAAATAAAATTGTTTATCGACGGTCGATAAAAAATGCTTATTAGTAGATTTTGAAAAACACAGCAGCGTAACAGTTTAAGTATATGTTATTGTGTTGATTAATCCCACAAGTTTTTAAATTTTTCTTGTTATCGTAGTGCTTTAATGTATTTTTAATAATCCTAGCTATAATTAAATTTGTTAATCACACTTACGGGCTCTGCCTGAAGTAAATAAATGAATAATAACTTTTATTAAAAAATTACATCAAAAATCACAACAAATTTTCTCGATTCAGAAAATATTAACATTATGTTGAAAAGTTCAGTCGCTTGGTCATGTTCACACACAATAAACGAAACCACTAGTATTGCGTTAGTGCTGATATTGATAGCTGTGTTATCAGTTATCACTCGCGTGTGCGATGTCTTACCCAAACGAGGAATCGAGAAAAATCATCTCGGGAAATGTGACTGCAATTATGCAGAAGTTCAGACATTATAAACCGGTATTGCAAATGTATAGAGGTACAAGCCGTATATATTGAACATCTTTGTGATCGTCAAAAAGACAGTGAAAGAAATGAATTAGTGTTTGTGTGAATAGTTACCACAATCGGTCGAAATAAAATTTTAAATGTTGTGATAATCGACTACTAAAGTGAAAAGTGTAGTGAGCCGTGGTAGCTCAATTGGTTAACGCTCGCTGTAAATATAACAGAATGCTAGTAACCCGGTTTCGATCCCCGCCGGCACCAATGAAATTGTTAATTGCAATTGTAAGTGCTGATTTACCACGTACTCGGCGGTGAAGGAAAACATCGTGAAGAAACCTGCATGTCAGAGGAATAAGGAAAAAAATATTTCGAAGGCATGTGGAGTTCGTCAATACGCATTGGGGCAGCGCGGCGGACATTTCGTTGCCCTAAAACCCTCTCAAAAATGAGATGAGGCCTGTGACCAGCAGTGGAAAGTATATAGGCTGTAACTTAAAGTGATAACAGCTGATGACATGACGAGGTCACGACCTTAGTGCAGTTTAGGCCGGTTTCCACCAAAGCAAAGAGGAGAGGAGATGTGCCGCAAAGCTGGCAGGTTATCACCACCAAAGCGGAGAGAAGTGCAGTGGAGAGGAAATGTGAGATTTGTATAGCAGAGATGTGAGCTGTGAGACATCGAAACCAGTCAAGTTCTGTCTACGAAAGGAAGACGATCATGTCGTTCAAAGTTGTATCTGAATTTGTTTGAGGAAGAGGAATTAGATATTGAAGAAACACAATTAATTCTTCAATATTTAAATTATCGACGGCAACATAGATTCTGAATAAGAAACAATATAAAATGTCACAGCCTTAGCGAATATGCCACTCTGTTTCAAGAATTTGATGATGAGTTTCCAAAAATCTTACAGGGTAAGAAGGAATAATTTTTACGCCACCCGGTCGCCCGACTAGACACTTCGCTCTGCCGCGCCGCTTGCTCGCTCGCCGGTCAAAATTCTATAGAAAAATGAGATATCTCCTCTCCTCTCCGCTTGATCCATTTCCTCCGAAGCTAAGCGGAGAAGTGATGTGGAAATAACGAAATCGGATTAGTTTATTCAAACACATCTCTCGTTTCCTCTCCTCTCTGCTTTGTTGGAAACCGGGCCATAATGTACGCACCCGCCGGCCGCCGCTACTTGTTTCCCTCTTGATAATTCCAGGCAGAGGTAATCAATCGACATAAAATTTACAAATATTATTTAATTAAAATTAAAATTTAATTTGTTATTTTTTATGTCAAGTTTACTGAAGTAAAATTATTTCTATATGTTTGAATACTGTATAATATATTAATTTAAGTGAGGACCACAGAACTATACACAATTTTTTATACACTCCAGCTTAGTTAGTTGGTTGGTAAGATCATAGTTTATAATTATATACTAGGGGCCTTATTCATAAAAGAGCCGTGGTAGCTCAGTGGCTAACGCTCGCTATAAATATAACAGAACGCGAGTAACCCGGGTTCGATCCCCACCGGCACCAATGAAATTGTTAATTGCAATTTTAAGTGCTGATTTACCACGTGCTCGGCGGTAAAGGAAAACATCGTGAGGAAACCTGCATGTCTGAGGAATAAGAAAAAAAATATTTCGAAGACATGTGAAGTTCGTCAACACGCATTTGGGCAGCGAGGCGGACACTTCCTTGCCCTAAACCCTCTCAGAAATGAGGGGAGGCCTGAGCCCAACAGTGGGACGTATATAGGCTGTAACTTTACTTTTATTCATAAAATCTCGTTAATCAACATTTTAAACATTACTTAACTAATCAACTAATTAAGCCTTAAACAATGGTTAAAATTTTGTTATTCATAAACGATACTTTGACATTGTGTTCGCGACGGCCTAACAACGTTAAGAAACAAAGTTATAAAGAATATTGTTTTTTGTATTAATAATTAAGTTACTGACAAAACAGTGAAAACGTGTATTATAGTTGTTTAGCATGTTTATAACTCTTAGTATATTTGTACAGAATGTCGTTTTGATAACAAGTGATGTAAACAACTTTTACTGTATTAAGAAAAATCGACCAATCACAGCGCGTCTTATCGTAGAACTCTCTAGAAGTTTTTTAATTAACTGCGTAATAGTTCATTCATACTAAAAATAATGAAAATAATTTTATGTTCTAAAAGAGTTATAAATATGACATTGAATTAGCATATGGCTTATAGATTAAAGAAGTGTAGGAATATTTTGTATAATTAAACGCATTTGATAGTTATATAAAAATTAAAGAATTAATGTACCCAAATATTATGAAAATTTGGGACATTTCGTTTAATAACTTTTTACAATGTTAATGTTTTTAGTAACCTTTATGATATACTAATAAAGTACCAGACTACCGATTTAATGATGTATAGCATGTTAGTGTAGCAATTAGTTTTGTTATAAATATTGCAATTTATGCCATTTGTATAGTGAAAAGTTTATGCAATAAAGAGGCAAAACGGAAAATGGCAAGCGGCTCACTGTAAAGTATTGCTAAAGTCTACCTTAGGGGCTCGTGACCCAGTAGGAGTAGTAGTGTGAAGAACTACCAGTGACAAGTGAAGTGAAGTGAGTGGTATCCGGTGGTAGCTGAAGTGACTAGTAGCAGTATATAGTGAATAGTGAAAGTGTTAGCTAGCCGAAAAAGGTCGTAACTGATATTCGCAGTTACATATAGTGAAAGTGGTAACTGATATCCGCAGTTACACAAGTGATAAAATCAGCTAGTTTAGTTGATAATAGCTGCTAGTCAGTAGTATTAGAAAACCAGCTACTACCAATAGATATTTGATACCACCGTACAATTTAAAGAAATCTTTTGAAATATACAGTGACCAACCAATAGTGAACAACCGTAGTTCAACCGTGGTCAATAGTTATAAAATTTTGCGACTAATTAATCAGTCGAACCGCTGGCCACTACCTTGCTATTTGTATTTATTAATCGTGCATTTTGATTTGAACCTCAGTCCACAATATTTCAGCGGTAACCACAAAGACGGCAGTGAAAGTACCCACAGGAACCTATAGGTGTAGGACGTGAGCGACTCGCGAAGTATCTTCGACAACATTTACTCCGGAGAGTTTCGCCCATCCGGCACATTCGTTGGTCCTTCGAGCAGGATATATCCGTTTGTATTTCGGAACCGGGTAAATAGTCACCACCGTATTAAAACCGCAGAATTTTTCAGATTCAAGATGCCGATCACCCGTTCGCAAGGAACGGAAGCCAAGGCGTGGACCGTCGGTCTGGAAGGAGGTTCGTCGGCCAGTAACGCCGCCGTCCACCACCAGATGCCACCACGCTCACCGTCAACGGTAGAGGGCGCTGAGGCGCCATGCTGCCCCCACCCCGAGGGGGGGTATACCCCTGTCCTCGCCGGCCACTACGGCCCGCAGAACCAAGCAGAGGGAACATATAGAAGGCAACGATGACTTTGGCCGTGCATCATCGCCAACAGCCCGGGAAGACACCCACACCGAAGAGCCACCGAGGGGCCACACCGATTGCAGTACGAAGTCAAAGAAGACTGTTCGGCCCAATAGAAGAATTTTGAAGGCTCGTGAAGAAGTACTGAAGATCAAACTAGAACTTGCGCAGATCTCCTTACAGATGGCTGAAGAAGAAGACGAATCAGACCACTATGATGAAGATGGTCACTCCAAAAGTGAATACGTTCGATCTTGGCTCGAAAACTCCGTAGCCAAACAAAAGTCAAATCAAGGCGCAACCACCGGAGGGAAGGCCCTATTTAATAAAACCGTCACAAAGCCAACCCCGGAGGTTGTCGACCTCAGTGAGCCCCAAAATGAGCTCACGAACTAGGATTCCTATCCAGAAGATGTACAAAAGGGTCCCATGCCACAGAAGCTCAGCCAGGAACCCACCGTTAATGAAGACAGGGGGCTCCTACCGATTATATCAGAGCTCACGTACCAGGATTCCTATCCAGCAGATGTACCCAAGGATCTCATGCCAAAGAAACCTAGCCAGGAACCCGTCATAAGTGAAGACAGGGGGCTCCGGCCATTTATATCGGAGCTCACGTCCGCTATAGCCGCGCTCGCTGACAAATCAAAGTTAGAGAATGCGCCACTATCGTCGCATACTTTCGCAGCGTCGAAAGCTATAATGACACTGCCAAGCTTTAGGGGAGCACATACCGAGTGGCTTTCATTCCGTGCCATTTACGAAACAACCCGAGGCTACTTCAATGACATTGAAAACACTGCTAACTAAGACGAAGTCTACAAGGAAGAGCCTTGGAAACAGTCAGTTCAGAACTTATCGGGCATGCTAAGCCAGATGAGATTATGCGAGAACTTGAGCTACAATTTGGGCGTCCAGATTCAATCACGCAAGCAGAAACCGAGAAGTTACGAGGATTAGCACGCTGTACAGAATCACCTAGAGACATCTGCACATTCGCGAGCAAAGTGAGGGGAAGCGTCGTCACTCTTCGAGCCCTAAAGCGAGATCATTACCTCGTCAACGCAGAGCTGCTACGACACCTCACCGACAAACTGCCAAACTCTATACGTGCCCAGTGGTATAGAATCTACACTGAAAAATACGACTCTAGACCATACCTCGGCTGCTTCAGCGAGTTTATTACCGAACAAGCTCGCTTCTGCAGCGCATTTGCGCCTCCAGAAATTATAAACGAAGCACAGAGCAATCGTTCAGTACATAGAGCACACGCGGCTACTACTAAGCCGTCTCGGAAATGCAGAGTGCGCGAAAAGGAGGGTCACTACGGATCCGAATGTAAAAAATTTAAGGAAGCAGATATCAACAAAAGATGGGAACTCGCAAAGCAAAATAATTTATGTTTCCGATGTTTACGTTATAGAAATCAGACACACAAACGCAAAACCAATAAGTGTGGAATAGAAGGATGCACCGCGACACACAATCGACTTCTCCATAATAATACAAAGGAGAAGACTGAGGTCAAACAAAAAGAACCTCAAGAAACTGTAGCTAACTCATTCGCTGTGTCAAAGCATCAAGCCTATTTAAAAATAATTCCAGTGCGAGTAATTGGACCGGCGGGAGCTGTAAACACACACGCCCTGCTGGATGATGGGTCAACTGTTTCACTAATGGATGATGAGATTGCCAAACAAATTGGAGCTACAGGGGGCGGTTGGACCCGTTTAAGACCACCGCTATCGGGAACACGACCCTTGATTCACCGGAATCCCGAAGAATCAAAGTATCGCTGAAGAGTCTCCACAGCAAAAGGGTGCCATTCAGAGCACGCACGGTTGCAAGCCTAAACTTGGGGCCACAGACTGTACTTGCAGCAGACATAGCCAAGTGCAACCACTTGAAAGACCGAGCAGCTAACATATGACTCCGGGAACCCAAGGATCCTAATAGGACAGGACAATTGGAGACTTCTGATAGCCACTCAAATCCGAAGAGGTCCGCCACATCAGCCAATTGCCTCGCTCACAGAATTAGGATGGATGCTACACGGGGCACACACTAAAGCCCCGTATCAGCGCGTCCACGCAGCCAATGAGCTGCACAAGAGCGAGGGGACTATAGATGACCAACTCCGCAAATATTTCGCGCTGGAATCTCT